ACACAATGGAAGTAGCGCAAGCACATGCATATAATCTCTCACATTACATCCAGATCAGTAGACTATGAAGATGTTTTTTTTCTCTGGATATCCAACCCAGGCCTGTTTCGGAAACTTGACCATAGCTGCTGCAAGATGAATATTATTGTCACCAATTCTTTGCTATTACCACAGCAGTTGTCTCAAATATTGCCGTTGTACTGACATTCTAATGTATACTGCCTTTGTAATTACTTGGTTTTGTACATTTTAGAATGCAATTTTAATAGTGTAACATTTGTTTGTGGGTCTCACGTTGAAATCGTTAACCTACAGATGTCTGGTTAATTTATTGTTTTAACTTGGAAATCATACCTAACAGTTATATATTTAACAATGTACTATGTAACGGTTGATACATTTAACAATGTACTCTGTAACGGTGTATACATTCAACAACATACTAAGTAACGGTGTATACATTCAACAACGTACTCTGTAACAGTGTATACATTCAACAACGTACTCTGTAGCGGTGTATACATTCAATAACGTACTCTGTAACAGTGTATACATTCAATAACGTACTCTGTAGCGGTGTATACATTCAACAACGTACTCTGTAACGGTGTATACATTCAACAACGTACTCTGTAACGGTGTATACATTCAACAACGTACTCTGTAACGGTGTATACATTCAACAACGTACTCTGTAACGGTGTATACATTCAACAACGTACTCTGTAAAACAAACTCTGTAACGGTGTATACATTCAACAACGTACTCTGTAACGGTGTATACATTCATCAACGTACTCTGTAACGGTGTATACATTCAACAACGTACTCTGTAACGGTGTATACATTCAACAACGTACTCTGTAACGGTGTATACATTCAACAACGTACTCTGTAAAACAAACTCTGTAACGGTGTATACATTCAACAACGTACTCTGTAACGGTGTATACATTCAACAACGTACTCTGTAACGGTGTATACATTCATCAACGTACTCTGTAACGGTGTATACATTCAACAACGTACTCTGTAACGGTGTATAAATTTAACAATGTATACATATGACTTTCTAAAACGTTGTTTCACCAGGGCTAAGATATTGCCTTAGTTACGGCATTATTGATTGATATTGTAGAGAGGACTTCCAATTTTGAAACATTGGTGTAAAAAACATAATATTCGATGCAACTCAGTAGGTAACTTGTATCTTAACGAGTATTGTTCAGTTTATTGCACCAATGCCAACGTTTGGCAGGATGAGCTCAATTTTCCTCGAACACCTGGTGTCATCACTACAGTGGTTCATAAACACATACTCATGGTATAGTCGGAACCTGCGATGGCCTTTCTCTTTAGCAGATATTACTAATCCGTATGCAATGGGTTTTATTCCATTTATTTACACTTGCAAACGTGTGAGTGAAAGTATAGGCATCATATTTATATGGTCGGAATATTTGGATGTTATACACACACATCCCGCAGCTGTACGTCTTCTTCCGTCAATATGACAATTACTACAATACTGTATAAGCATACGAGTTCATGTCAGACATTACAGCTGGCTCTCTGTGGTTTCCGTTATGTGGGGATTTACTCGCCTTATCTCGATTGTCAAGTGTTTTCAGAGTGATCCCTAACCATTTGATGTGATACAACCAGCAGAAATTGGCATCTATTGGTCTAGTGTACGATCGGCCTGCAGACAATGTAAGATCTGCCCTGTATTGAGGAGCACCTGCTGCTGGAGTGCCGCCTGAAGTCACCCCGACACGAACAGCTCATACAATACAGCGGCGAATGTGCCTCGTGAATGACCACAGGGCTGGTTTGTTAGTGACCAGGGGCCGTAGTGGTCCTTGCCACACCCAAAGTGTATATCCATGTCAAAGTCTTAATAATAGACATCGAGTTACATAATTATGCTGGAAGGCCTTAAGTGTCCTTTTTGTCACGGTGGTATTTTCCTTCGTCAGTAGTACATATTATATTAACGGTAGCTCTATTTGAGTAAACACTGTATAGTGCGCTGTGGTTTTGTTACACAAAACCCAAACTTAAACAAATGATTTAGGGGACACCTCCCAGCTGCCCTGAACTTACTGTGTTGTTCCACGTAGTCTCAGTGGTGCAACAATTTGGTGCTCAATTTAGCTGTTTCACAGGTTGTGTGAGCCTCCTAGTCAGCTGTACAACACAGTTGGTGTGAGCGTCCCTGTCAGCTGTACAACACAGTTGGTGTGAGCGTCCCTGTCAGCTGTACAACACAGGTGGTGTGAGCGTCCCTCAGCTGTACAACACAGGTGGTGTGAGCGTCCCTCTCAGCTGTACAACACAGGTGGTGTGAGCGTCCCGTCAGCCCAACACAGCTACAACACGGGTGGTGTGGCGTCCTGTACAACACAGGTGGTGTGAGCGTCCCTGTCAGCTGTACAACACAGGTGGTGTGAGCCGCCCCCTGTCAGCTGTACAACACAGGTGGTGTGAGCTGTACAACACCCTCCTATCAGCTGTACAACACAGGTGGTGTGAGCGTCCCTCTCAGCTGTACAACACAGGTGGTGTGAGCGTCCCTGTCAGCTGTACAACACAGGTGGTGTGAGCGTCCCTGTCAGCTGTACAACACAGGTGGTGTGAGCGTCCCTGTCAGCTGTACAACACAGGTGGTGTGAGCGTCCCTGTCAGCTGTACAACACAGGTGGTGTGAGCGTCCCTCCCAGCTGTACAACACAGGTGGTGTGAGCGTCCCTCTCAGCTGTACAACACAGGTGGTGTGAGCGTGGTCCTCAGCTCAGCTGTACAACACAGGTGGTGTGAGCGTCCCTCTCAGCTGTACAACACAGGTGGTGTAAGCTTTCCTCTCAGCTGTACAACACAGGTGGTGTAAGCTTTCCTCTCAGCTGTACAACACAGGTGGTGTGAGCGTCCCTCTCAGCTGTACAACACAGGTGGTGTAAGCTTTCCTCTCAGCTGTACAACACAGGTTGTGTGAGCGTCCCTGTCAGCTGTACAACACAGGTGGTGTGAGCGTCCCTCTCAGCTGTACAACACAGGTGGTGTGAGCGTCCCTGTCAGCTGTACAACACAGGTGGTGTGAGCGGTCCAGTCCCAGTTGTACGATGTTTGTCCCCATGGATTATGATAAATGAGGATGTGTTTATGGATCACCATGAAATAGTGATGATACCTGGTGTTCTTGACCCACTGATGCCCCCCATTATACCATATGCAAAGTCTGCATCACATTTCGAAATGTCCTCCACATATCTACCCTAAATTTTTTGGAAAGCTTTCATAATAATAATAATAATAGGGGCATTTGTAATGCGCCAAATTCCGCACCAAGGCGAGTGAGTGAGTGAGTTTAGTTTTACGTCGCACTCAGCAATATTCCAGCTATATGGCGGCAGTCTGTAAAGAATCGAGTCTGGACCAGACAATCCAGTGATCAACAGCATGAGCATCGATCTGCAATTGGGAACTGATGACATGTGTCAACCAAGTCCGCGAGCCTGACCACCCGATCCTATTAGTCGCCTCTTACGACAAGCATAGTCACCTTTTGTGGCAAGCATGGGTTGCTGAAGACCTATTCTACCCCACCACGGAGAGGCCGCTCAAAGCTGATTATTGCTACCCCGGATAACCCAAGCTGCCTGTGATGCGCTAGAAGGTTAATAGTCACATGACATATCCCACCAGGTATCCATTTTCTGCTGGATGAACAGAGGCACGTTTGAAAATCACTTGCCTAAGGTGAGACATGTGTCACATGTGCTTCGTTGTGGGGTCAGGACTGAAGTGCTCTCAGGAGTCAAGCTGCCAAACACAGTCATCCATCCAAGACTCTCCACGCCCAACGTTGCTTAACTTCAACTGATTTGTGACCTGAACTGACAGGACTATGCACCATCACTGAGGCCTGGAATGTTGTAACCTTGATCGAACAACTTTTGAGAAAGATTGTACTATTTTTACCTCAAAAGCTGTGAAATGTAAACACCAAAAGGTTAGAGCTGTTAGAATATTGCTTGACATGAAAGGAAAGTTAACTATTGGGAACTTGAAATCATCCCTTTTCGTCATACAGCCTTGTGGAGAGATTTTGTCACTCTGAATCTTTATGCATATATCTAAACATGAAACAGTTGAGGCGGTCTCACTTGTCTCCTTAATTTCAAGTTCAGGTGGGTAAATCAGAGGAAGGGAATTGGCTATTTGATGGTCATTGAACGGTATTAAATCATTGATAAACCTGAGACTTAAGGTAAACTTCTTGGCCAAATTACCTTGTTTTGATTTTGCCAACCCAAGCAGAAATTCTGAATCATGTGCATAAAGAAACAGATGTGCCAGGAGGGGAGCACAGTTGGTGCCCATGGGTACGCTTACTTCTTAAATGAAAACTTTTTGTATTTTAAATTCCCCCGAAAGATCTAGTACAATTAACAGAAACACACTGAGAAAGAAATGTCCACATCTTGTGTACAAAGTAAGCATTGCTTGGATGGTCAAGGCTCACAATATTTGTTTTAACTGACAACATGTAGAGGGAGGGCACTTAATACTGTTGGTGAGTGGACATTCTTGTAGGATTAATACTGTTGGCGAGTGGACATTCTTGTAGGATTAATACATATCCTGCTCCTTTGTGTATGCAGTAGAATGTTTTCAGAGTCAACAATATTCAGACCCCAACAGCAGCTGGGTGTATACCTACTAGGGCTGTGTATTGGCAATTGAATTGTATTGCAATATATTGTGATTCAAGTACCCGCATTGCGATACATATTACTATATATTGAGAACTTAAGTGTTTGACAGTAAGTGACACTAATTGTACATGTGGATCCTATTTTCTACATTATATGTTATGGTTCTGATAACAGCAATCTCAAATTTAGCTGCATATAGTCAGGGATTCTATTTTCTTTTTTATACAATTTATAGTATTACAGTATAACGTTTTGTCATTGAATAACGAAGGAAAACATCTGTTGTGAATGAAAGTCTGTATAGATTTTAATTTTAACCATAAAGATAATCACAAACAATTCATATGTTTTTTACCCAATATACATGTTCTCAGAAAAAAATATTACAATAAGTATCATTTGAAAAGCGTATTGCGGTATACCGGTAACTAATACCTAGTCAGTATCATAAATACTATGTAATAGCATGAGCATGTAGTTGGGATACAGTGATACATCATCAACAAAGTTGTTCATTGTAATCACCCAATTCTTGCTTATTTGAGGGTTATATGACAAGATTTTGACAGTGGAGACCATTTTCTGCCCCTGAATCTCAAAATGAATGCATGCTTTTGTTGAACATATGATTTTGGCATGACAAAGAAAGATCTGATAATCCTCTCTGGTTGGTAAAACACAAACACAGCAATGATCTCAAAATGACCATGTAATACCAGCTAGGCAATAACAAACATTCCACACAAATCCTCACTTCTGCTTAGCTGATCTTGCAAACTGCACCACAATGGGTTTGCCATTAAGAATGTAACCATTTGTTTGTTCCAAGGCAGGAATGGCCTTATCTTCACTTGGGAAAGTGACAAAGGCCTGACCTTTCATTTTACCTTCCTTCATGAGACGCACATCAAATATATTTAGATCTTGTTCGTTTGTCACATCAATGAACCGACCATATATGAACCGCAATTCGTTATCAGTTACTTGTTTAGCAAGGTTTTTCAAATAAAGTCGACAACTTGGCTCTCCTCTTTCATACCTCCTGAAAACAGATAGTTCCTTGAGTTCCGACATTGGTAACCTGCCTCTATCTAGCTCCTCCTGGGAAACAAAGCCATGTCTAACCCAGTCATCTTCTTCAGGAGGGGCACTGTCCTCAAGCTCCTTCTGGACAGGCTCCATCCTCCCGAAGCCTCCTGTCTCTTCGTCTTGCATCAAACGTGAAGTTGACTCTGTGGTGTCCATCTTGGCAACACCAGTTTCCTCCTGAGCTGTGCTAGACACCAATGAAGGAAGCTTCAACTGGATCTTCTTCTGGGCAGGTTTGTCTTGTACCTGTTCAAAGACCTCTGATGGTTTTACGATCTGGTCGGGAGGAACAGAACCTTGAGCTGTAACCTCTGCCAGGGGTTGTATCATAAGCCGGGCTTTCTTGTGACTCCTCTTTCGCTTTCTTGCATAAATCTGATCAGGGACATGGACATCTAAAGATTTTCCTTCACCTCCACTCTCTATTTCCGATTCAGAGCTTGTAGATTTCGCTGAAATATTCGCAGCTGACTTTTCTTCAGCTTGATGTTTCAAATCTGCAGGGATAGGTGGCGTGGTAGTGAGAACACCGAAAGGGGTGGGGACGTTCATCTTGTTCATGAGATGCAGTACTTGAACATAAAACTTAGGATAGGATGCTAAAGCATTAGCAATGTTGGTGAGGATGGAAACTGTGGGTGGGGGGTACATGTAGTGAAGTCGTGGGTTGCGAGGGTAGTTGATGCTCCACTTGTGGTAAACATCATCAAAAGAAGGGGGTACAATAGCCTCTTTCTCTTTCGTATTATTGTCTGCTACTTTCTCTTTTGTCCAAGGCTGATCTGTCTTTATTCTGTCAGGGGCAAGGCTCTCTTTAGCAAATTCTGCTTTTAGTCTTGATCCTAGGACATCCAGCTGATGCAGTCTTGTAAGAGCTTTGGCAGCTTGGGCCTGGTCAGTGAATCCAGCAAATGCTGCATGTTTCATCGGACCTGTAGTCCCCATAAACTGCACGCTGACAGCACCGAAGTGACGCAACAGGTCATCTTTATCCGCTGGTGTGAGATCTGATGGCAGATGCCTAATCAGTAATGTACTTGATACCATTGTCTGGAAGGAGAAAATACAAAGAAGTCACTCATGACAGTTTTTGTTATCATACATGCCGCAACATTAATAATGAACGTGTAAGTGAGAACAGAGATGACCAGTATCCCTTTTCTATCAAATCTATGGAAAGTGTCATGAAGAAAATCAAACTTGTTTCAGAGATAACTTAGGAAACAAAATCATCTTGAAGTTGGCCCATTTTACTTCCTTCCATGGAATAACTCATTATCTAAAACAGCATTGAATCTGTTAACATAAAATGACAATGGAATCTTAGTAATACCACACTGAAATGAGTAAAATAGATTCAACTTCTTACAAATTGTTCGTATTATTAATTTTATTGTGCACTCTGTATCCAAATATCAGTGATCTCTCTCTTATTTTCGATGGAAGTTTCATAAGTGCCATACGAAGACATCCCTCCTATTTAGCTGATATACAATCAAAATCTTCCATTATCTTTCGTAAGTACGCTTTTCACTTCCAATATCCACTTACCTATATTCGTCTGTGAGAGACAACCAAAATGATCGCGCTCTGGTCCAAGGCCGATAACTCTCATTCTTACACCGGAAGCGGTGCAAATTGGAAAATGGCGCTTCCCATGAATTGTAAGGAAAGTCAACATTTATAAGAAATTATTTGTTCAGTTTATCTGTCTTTTAGTAAAGAAAATTATTGTCATCAGCATTATTCTGACATTACTGGTAGAAAGCCTCAGTTTGCAGGAAATATTCGCTCTTCTTTTTGATGAATTACTATTTTGACAAAATGAAGAGGGTGGCCGAACAGGGAATGTTATCAAATACATGATTAAAAAAGAATGTTGTTTTACAGGAACTGAAATGGGGGAACCCTGAAGTCTCTTGCTGCCAGAAACATCACCATGGACATCCCTGGTGACAACACTGCTGTGATTCGGATGAAACGAGAGTTTGATGCCTTTGTGTCAGCCAGTAGGAGACAACAAATAGAAGGGAGCTTCAACCTCAACCAAGCTGAAAATGACGATACAAACACATCCTCATCTCCTGTCGTGTCAATGAGAAACCTCCTAGGTCAGTCAGCCCTCAAAACGTAATCTGAAATATGTATTCATTCAGCCCTCATTGAGGTCAGTTGACCCTCAAAACATCTGTTCAGTTCCACTGCTTTGTAATGCCCTTAAATGAAAGACTTACAATGTAGTAAAACATCTGGGCCTAGATTGTCGAAGCTCTCTTAGCTCTAAGATAGTCGTTACTGCCATACACTAACTTTAACTTACGACTATCTTAGAGCTAATTAAAATTCAAAAATCTAGGCCCTGGCAATAGGAGCTCATGTATTGGCACAGAGCCATGGCTGCTGGTTGAGGAGAGTGGTGGTTCTTGTGCTTTGTAGCAGGAATATTCACCATTCTTCATGGATTGGAATCACAGATTTGATCATGGCGTCAGTTTTGATGGTCTGATTGTCAGTTGAATGTTAACCCAGCAAGTCATGCTTTATGTTGCTGTCAGTATGTAGCAGGTGATGCACTATATTACTATCATTTGAATGTACAAGTGATGCATGATGTTGCTCTTGTAGACAAGGAGAAGGAGGAGAAACTGATGAAAGCAGAGGTGATTACGGCCAAAAGTTTGATTGTCAAACTGGAGACTGAAGTAAACACACTTCGGACGTCTAACAAGAGGACACGTATTGAATTTGAGAAGGACCTTGGCAACTTGACAAATGACAGACAGGTGTTGTAATCATGTATACACATACACTTTAGTTACTGCATGCAGAATGATCATGAGTTTATTTTTCTCTGTGCCAAGGATGACAATTTAATTTCAATGGTAAACTTAACAATTTTTCTTTATCCTGACTCATGCTCTTTTGCTTGTCTTCTTCTTTTTGCGAACATAGTGGAACACTTGTATCTCCTTATTTGAAGCTCCCTTCAAAATAAAATCACTAATTGGTACTCACCACGAGTTGCTCCCCTTTGTTTCCCCTGGCGGGAAAGGTGTCGCCACCCTCTGGCCATGTGCTTCACTCTCTCCTTCTTCGCCCAGTGAGCAGGATGTGAGAGCGCCTCGTGTCTCCTTACACACCATATCCTTTGATAATCTCTTAGTTTTTACCTCTCATAGGTTTCTATAGAGGTATAGCTAGTATCCTTTACTATTTGTATTGATTAATTATCATTATTTCTACTGTTTATTCACGTGTATTCGTGATTGTTCAGCTAAGCTTTACGTTGATGAAAATCTGTCACGATTTGTAGATTACGTTTTTCCCTCCGATCCACATGTAATATGCCCTAGTTCATCGGTAATGCGTTTAATTCACGTTGCAGTTACTGCATTAATTTATCTCATTCTGCATTTAATAAATATCATCTTTGCGTCTTAAGGCGTGCTGCAGATAGATCACGCAAACAAGGGCAAAACATGGCAGAGAGTCCAGATATTCCATCCAGTCAGCTGCTAGCGATCGACCCTCTCCCGTCTGGTGTTCTGCTAGAGACCCTTCCGGTGAAGGCGACGAGGCGCCGATCCGTTACCTGAAAAAAACGACCGGCCTCCCCCAGACATCCGTCATTGCAGACCAAGTCTAAGAGGCCTCATCGTCGCCTCAAAGCGCAGATTGAGGACACCCAGGCAGCGCCAGACTTCAAAGGGAAATCTGAAGACAGACAGCAAGAACTTTCTCAGCGAGATCGTTCCAGCAGCAGAATTGGGCCTCTACGATGATCAGCCGATAATCATCCCGACTTACTCACGGCAGAAGCTGACGGTGTCAGCGACTGTGACTTCTGCAGAGATCACCATGCAGCCTGATGCCTCTACACCGGCGTCAGACGCCATTGATGTGAACCCCCATCGCAGAAAAGACGCCGACGACTTCGATCTACAGATCATCCCAGAAGACATGATGCGGCAGATTATGAACATCATGGAGGAATGCGCCACTACAAACTGGCATGAAGCAGGGTCCGAACCGCCGATGAAGGCTCCAACGTGAACAGCACCCCAGAGGCACCCCCGTCAACACGTAGCAGCCAAGACGATGTCACCTTCAGCGAAGGAAGTCCCGCACCACCTTGGACGAAGGACCTAGATGTACAGCTTCGGCTAAGGCCTTCGCGCCAGCGGCGATGGAGAGGTCATCACCATCTTCGATTTCATCTCTAGATATGGACTCAGACCATCAGACATCACGGAGGCCGCGAAGGTCATATCATCGATCCCCCGGACCGGACGCAAATGAAGCTTAGCGGCGAAGGCATTCGCTGAGAAAGGACATATGATTCCAGATCCTCATCATCTAGAAGAACATCGAGGGACTGCCGAAGGCTTCGAAGCTATCAACATTCACCTCACAAGTCTCCGAGAAGATCATCCCATAGACGCGATCTCCACTTCGTTCATCACCAGGTCGATCACCCGTCCAGATCTCCACATAGCGGCGCACGAGTCAACTAGATGCGCCACAAACCTCATCAGATATACAGACAGCTACACGCGTCCCGAAGAGCATCTACAATTTGTTAATGATGATGGTTTGAGGGATGATGGAGGAATCATATTTTTCTGATGCAGAATCACGGTATTGGATGGTCAATAACCTAGATCTCACATCACCATCTAAAAGTGGCAATACAGCGCCAGGCGTATTTGATGAAGGAAGATGATCCAGATGCAATCACTCTACCCCGATCGACCCGGTGCGGCAGTGCCACAGAATCTAGATGCAGCTTTCCAGAAAGCTAATTGAAAGTTCAAACACCACATCTGCCCAACTTTCAAGCCAAGAAGTTCTCACGCATAACATGGACTCCTTCTACAAGGCCCAGGACATCGATGAGAACTATAAGATCATCAGCGATGTAAAGAACAAGATTTACAAGATGGATGATCGTAAGTTGGCTCATATAGAAACCATGACGAGGCGTATGTTCTTTGGGTTAAATAGATCTAGGGCGATCAATGAGACTCTTATTACTAGATTCCGGGATTCCACGGCCGGAAGATGATAGAATGATTTATTCTGCCTTACTTATGCAAAAGAAAGATCAGCAGTTTTAACGGTCATCTTACATCTGTTTCAGCAGCACTGACCTTAGCTCGTCGTCCAAGGCCTCCTAAGCCTCCTGTAATTGGGGGAGAACTTTACAGCCCCACTTTATACAGCCCGTGGTCGACAACATCCATTTTGACGGAGAAATCGACAAAGTCGCCAAGGAAGTCTCTAAGGATTCCAGGGAAGTCCTTATGATTAGATCGATGGACACACTAGCCAGCGTCATTAGGTCAGACTTCACAAAGATACTCAGGCAGATCTAAGTTCACGGGCCTACAAAGAGCAAGAGACAGGAAGATAGCCAGCTCTAGAGGTAAAGATTCTTTAGAGTAAGCCCATATGGCAACTATAGAGGAGGATCAGGAAGAGGCAGGACACCCAGAGGTTCCGCCAATTATAGGCAGCTGAAACACAGGTTGAACGACTGGAGTCTTCCACCCCAGCCGTTCCAGTACAGCCAACTCAAGTGGGTGGCCGCCTCCAACTACACTGGGAAAACTGGGGAATATTGCAAGACCCTTACGTCACCAACATTCTTCAACACAGATTTTGTATCCTCTACAGGCCAAGCCTCGCTGACAATCAAACCCCCAGGTTAGATTTACAGCGCCAACAACTACCAAAGATAAGAGGCTGTTTCATCACTCCTATCCAAACAGGCCATAGAAGTAATAGATCAAGCAAGCGTCGAACCAGGTTTCTACTCCCCAGTTTTCCTAGTTCCCAAGAAAAACTCCACGGACGAATACAGACTCATCTACAACATGAGCTTTTCAACAAGAACTATCTCACATGAAACCACCGAAGTTTCGGCATGATACATTTACCTCAGTTACGCCAGATGATTAGATCCCTATGGACTACATGGGCAGCATAGATCTACAGGATGCCTACCTGCACATCCCCATTCATCCCGATTCAGGAAATACCTACGATTTACTCTAGAAGGGCTACATTACCAGTGGAAAGTACTCCCCATTGAATATCATCAGCCCCTGGCTATTCACGAGGATAACGAAACCGATTATCAATTTCTACATCGTCAAGGGCTACGCCAGTCGCGTTTTACCTCGACGACGGGATACAAGTAGATCAAGATCCACTGCGTCTCAAACTACAGTTAAATTACATCATAAAGCTACTAACACAACTAGGTTGGTTAGTAAACTTACGCAAGTCGGACCTAGTACCATCGCAAGACCTGCAGTTCCTAGGTATTCGATTCATCACAAATCGCAACCGTATTATGTTACCAGAAGACCGTTGGCTCAAGATACAGCAGACCATTCCACCAGCTCTACTCTCTCCGTTACCACTCGCGACAATGGCAGAGCCTACTAGGTCTTCTCACATCAGCCCAAGACATGACTGTCACAGGCAGATTACAGTTACGCCCCTACAGGTCCTCATCAGCGCACATCTCAGCGATGTACAACCATTCAGTCTACCGAAACATCTCGGGACCGCATCTACTATGGTGGACCAAGAAATCGAATGTCTGCGAAGGGATTTGTTTAGCAGAGCAGGAATACAAAACCCATCTGTATGTAGGCGCGTCACTCAAGGTTGGGGAGCTCATCTCACCAACCACACGATATCAGGATTATGGAATCAGCAAGAATGCAAACTCCATATAAACAGTCTAGAAATGAAAGCTGTAATCAGCAGCCATTCTACATTGGAGCACATTTCTACAAAATGCTACCTAATGATCCATACAGACAATTCGACAGTGGCGTTTCTACATAAACAAGCAAGGCTCAACGAGATCGATGAACCTTTTGAACCTAAACTTTCAACTGTTCGATTTAATACAAGATCTAAATCTACATGTCAGAGCAGTGCACATTCCCGGAGCCAGAAATATACTAGCAGGCGGCTCTCTCGGCCTCATCTACCATCACCGACAGAGTGGATGATCAACAGAAATTTTTGCACAGATAATCAAGAAGCAATTAGGAGGGCGCCGCTAATAGACCTATTCGCCCACAGCGATTCAACAATCAGCTACCGACATTCGTGTCACCAGTCCCAGACCCCCAAGCTTGGGCAACGGCGGCTCTAAGTCTATCATGGGAAGGCCTCAATGCGTCAGCGTTTCCGCCGCCAGCAATAATACCTCAAGTATTACAGAAAATCAGACAAACACAGAGCCTACAACTCACTTTGGTGCGCCCTACTGGTCGGCCAGAACGTGGTTTCCCATACTAATTCAAAGAAATCGGGTCAACCAACACTGGAGCTACCAAAGCCAAGCAAACCTGTTAATTCATCCTCACACCAAAACAAGTGCACGGAAACCCAGCAATGTTCCAACTACTGCGTTATGGACTGTATACAAATGTGTTTAAACAAGAGAGGATATTCTGCCAGGGCGGCAAAAGCAGTCACGCTTGCCTTACGTTACTCAACTCGTAACTAGTACGACGACAAGTGGCACAGTTTCGAAAATTATGCAACAAAGAAAGGGTTTACAGCAAGAGAGGCTTCACAACCTCAAGTGGCAGACTATTTGTGTTACCTACGCCAAAACAAACATTTAAAAGGTTCAACGATATCAACATATCTTGCCGCGCTTAGTTCTGTAATCACCATGAGAACGGGTGTCAAATTGACAAGATCTCCAGTCGCGTGGAAGTCGCGGTAGCTGAGTGGGTTAGGCGGCTGACTT